TGCTGCAGCAGTAAACCAGGGAGGGCCGCGTGCCTGTCGCTTGCTCGGCGCACACAACCCCGCCATACCGGAGCGTGGCAAAGAGGCAGCGTCTGGGAACTGCATCGCCCGTTGTGCGGGGAGAGATTTTGCACTGCGGTGCATTTCTGGGGCGACCCTGAAGCCAACAGCTGCGCAGGGGGGCAGGCACGTTCCCGCGGTCCTCCACACTCTGGTCCCAATTCTGTGTTTGGAGCAGGGTTCAAAGGCCACAGCCCTGGCGCCCAAGGACCAACGCCCCTGCCTGATGCTGCACTATTATTCCAGCTCACTTTAGCCGTGCTGGCATCTCCACCGTGGACCTGCGCGCACCAAGGACACGGCCAGAGCAGCAACTTAAAAAACAATCATCTCTTTGGGAGCGTGGAAGGTGTGCAAGTCCTGTAGGAGCCCCTGGTCAAAACGCTGTCTTTCCCGCCAAAGAGCAGCAGCAATGCCCCTCTCAGCCTTAGCTGGGCTAAGATGGGTCTTTCACGGGGGGAGGGAGGGGGCCCCAAAGAATTCACATATGCTGCTGCTGTGGCTTGTAACCTATGACTGGCGCAGGAAAAAGACTTGGAGAAGGGGACCCTCCAGAGGCTTCCCTGCAGTGGGGGCCAAAAAAGTTAATTTGGAAGGTGGGAGGGAGCTGGGAAATTTAGGCCAGTCTTTCCAACCTCCGGATGGGTTCGGGACTACAACTCCCAGACCCCTCTAGGCAGCAGAGCCATGGGCAACATTCTGGATTCCCCCCTCCATCTGCCTAAGACAAAAAAGGAAAAAACAAAGGAAAAACAAACTGATCTAAAATAAAATTTTACATATAGAACTACCGGTGAAAATTTATTTTAGAACAGTTTATGCAATTCTCCCTTCCAAAATTAAACTAACTGTAAAATAAAGCGTCCGGGTTTTGGTCCTTCTAGAAAACACTCATCAATCGAAACCGGTGCGCGACAGCATGTTTGTGTTTTGAACTGGGGAGGAAGGAAGACTCGAAAAGTTCACTGGGTCTAAGCTTTGGCTTTTAACAGGAAAACGGCTATTGTTTTGCTTGTTAAAAATACATTTTCATTTCCCTCAAATGTGCAGGGTTTGTTTCTTTCTTTCTTTTTCCTGGAATGTATCACTGGAGCTTCATTTCTCCTTGCCCCGAAAAGCATTTAGGGTTTTTGGAGGGGGGCTGGCAAGGGAAGAAAGGAAGGAGTGCCCACGTTGGGCAGGCTGGAGCTGCCTCTCCGGGGTCGGTGCCACGGGGTTTTTGCGACGCAAACCTCGCTGGTCCATGACAAAACGCCTTCGTTCAGCCCTCGCTTCCTCCTGGCACCCGCAATTTAAGCCGCCCATCCCGTGCAGGCTTTTTCTCCACGGGTTTCACCAGGGATATCTGCCCCATTATTATTATTATTTTAAAGTAGGCCACCCATTTTGAAAAATAGAACATAACACTATTAAAAAAAAACACTATTACATGTATAGCTAAAATTACCTATTGCTGATCCTTGGTCATTTATATGGTTGGGGGGTTTTTTGGGGGTGGGGGGAGAGGAGTGGGTTTTGCTGCTGGCACCAGAGAGGGCAAGCCTGCTGACCCTGCACGGGCCCTCTTGCCAGCCGTGCGCGCGCATGTTCCCCCCACCTGGTGCCCTCTTGTGTGCGCTGGCTGGGGGACGGTGGGGGCCATGGTACAGCGCAACTTGGCTGGGGGGGAGCCTGCTGGGGGAGGGCCCTTCCACCTTTCCGAGGTGGGGTCCTAGAGACCCAGAACAAGCGTCCTTCCGTTCCTCTCTGGCTTGGCGAGCGCTGCCTCCCCCCCACCCCCCGCGGCCTTCCTCTGGCCAAAAGGAAAATGTGATTCATCTCCAGCGAGTTGGAAAACAAAACGCACGCACACGCTCCCCCCTCTGCCACCTCCTGCTCCCCCGGCAGCTGTGCAGCAAAGTGGAGGAG